GTGTGCTGCTAATAATGTACTTATCTACTCCCCTGACACGGATATTCAATCATAGGGCTTCAAATATTAAAAGCATCTACCAAAAATTTTATTATTCAGCAAAATTTACCATCATCAGCTGATAAATCCTATCTTTTTCTCAATAATCTTCTAGATGCTTTAGAAAGTGACAGCGACAATATCATCATTGGCTAAAAATGATATACCACAAGTCATGACTAGTCTTTTCCTTGCAACAGGTTCAGATTATACTTCCTATTTCAAAAACTTGGGGAAAGCCACAATTCTAAATACTTTCTTCATGCACTGCAAATTCATCTCTGGTGCTAGCAACCATGAAGGATCACTTTCAAATTTCATGCATAATAAGAATTTGGGTTTCCTGGCTTTTCTGTGACTTGTGGGAGTGCTATATTTTAAACGACACCTTGCCTCTTTTGCATGCATCAATCAAGTAGAAACACCAGAACAGCTATATAATTCTATAGATGAGTCACTACCACCTTTAGAAAGACACAAAGCATTTATTGAAAAGATTCAAATCATTAACGGAGAACGAATCACAACAGAAGAGCGAATGCCTTCAATCACTGCTCTACATAGACACTGGTTAAGGAGTACATACATATGTAACATGTGGAGCAAGGCGACACAGCATGATGTGTATGAATCTTTACCTTTACCAGAGAAGAGTGGCTGGATCCTTAGGAATGCCGAATATTTCATCGATTGGGAAGATCCTGAAAAGCAAGCATTAATTAGCCAGAAATTAAGTAATATGAAGAATGGGTGTAAGTGTAAGACAGGGTGTTCTAGTGCAAGGTGTCGATGCAAGAAAGGTAATACCTTTTGTGGTCCTGGCTGCTACTGCATCAACTGCTCAAACACAGCTATATCAGATTCAAATGAGGATAGCAATGAAGATGTATCTGAGAGCGAATCAGAATATTCAGATATTGAAGATACTGTGGAAACTGAAATAGTAACTGATGGTATGGATGACAACATTATCGACATCTTTGATGTTTCATTACTATGATAGTGTTTTATAATGTACATGTTCATGTGAATATACTTACAGTAAATTAGCAGATAAATACACACACACACACACACATTAATCAAACAACTTTATGTATAATATCATTAACTTCTTATTGTTACTCATTAGTCACTACTCATATGTATACAATAATTTTGATATAAAATTAACGATCTTATATAAGAGCACAAATGTGGCTCTTTGGTATAATACACTGTTGTTATGTATAAATGCAAAGCAAATTTATTAACCTATCAATATTCATAAAAGCTATAACTGTCCAGGGTGCAAGTGCTGGGAAAAGTAAAGTTTAATATCTTAAGAGCGCATGAATGATTCTGTAGAATATGTGCAAAAAGCTCACAATAAACCTTCATAATGTATTATAACTTACAATTATTGAAGTTACTAATATATAAAACACTATTAATCATTATACTAGATAAAAATAGTTCGTTTTGTCCTTCTTTATCTTCCAAACAGTCACTTCTACCGAAGCTTGTGCCTACAGCTCATTAGGTGCCATTTTACACGACACGCCCACTTCCGTTGAAAATAAAACGCTTCCGGTTACTCACCTCTGCGACTCGGCTGTACAGGTGTCCAAAATTATCAAAACTGAGCAGCTGTAAATTATCTTGCGCTCTGACGGCTCTGTAAGATTATATTTCGCTCTATGATAAAAGAAGCCTAATTTGTTAGAGTTATTTCAAAATAATTTACCTATTAGCTCTTAAAAGAACTGTTAATCACTTAGTCTGCGCACTGCTGAACAAACAAGTATGCAGAGAAAGAGAAGAATAGAGCGAATTCACCCAGTGCAGTCAGTCAGTCACTATAGCAACTCTGAGCATGCGCATTAAGTTTCAAAATGGCGACTTATTTTAAGGGGCGGTGATATCACGCCCAAATAACTAGTTTATAATCTAATATGAATTAAGATATGGAAAGCACCTTTGTAGTCCTTGACTCACGCTCCAAGGAATGATGTGAAAGTCAACTTGAGCTGTTTTCTAGTTTAAAAGATTATCCGGTGCATAGAAGAAGATGAAAGAAGAAGAAGAAGAAGAAAAAGTCTGAAGAATTTTGCAAAAATTTGAATTTTGGCCTATTATACAGAAATCCTTCCGCTACATTACAGTCCACTTTAAAGGTACCAGGAGAATCGCTCAGTGAAGGAGAGCTCATCTAAGCCATTTATAAAGCTGTACAACGTAAGATAGAAGAGTTATAATCATTTGAAAATTATAAATTTGGTCGCCATCTTGAAAAATCAACCTCAACCCTACATATAGGCTACCGCCTATATAATAACAAGCAACACT